TAGCGATGACTAGGGATGATTACGGATTACTACGGATGACGGGGATGACTAGGGATGAGGAAGGATAACTGAGATGACTAGGGATGACTAGCGATGACTGGGATGACTGGGATGACTAGGAATGACTGGGATGACTAGGGATGACAAGGGATGACTAGGGATGACTGGGATGATTAGGGATGACTGGGGGTGACTGGGATGACTAGGGATGACTGGGATGACTATCGATGACTACAGAGGACTGGGATGACTAGGGATGACTAGGGATGAGTAGGGATAACTGGGATTACTAGGGATGACTAGGGATGACTGGGATGACTAGGGATGACTAGGGATGACTAGGGATGACTAGGGATGACTGGGATGACTAGCGATGACTGGGATGACTGGGATGACTAGGGATGACTAGGGATGACTGGGATGACTAGGGATGACTAGGGGTGACTGGGATGACTGAGAGACTATGGATGACTAGGGATGACTGGGATGATTAGGGATGACTAGGGATGAGTAAGGATGACTAGGGATGACTAGGGATGACTGGGATGACTTTGGATGACTAGGGATGACTGGGATGACTAGGGATTATTACGGATTACTACGGATGACTGGGATGACTAGGGATGAGTAGGGATAAATGATATGACTAGGGACGACTAGCGATGACTGGGATGACTAGGGATGACTTGCAATGACTGGGATGACTAGGGATGACTGGAATGACTAGGGATGACAAGGGATGACCAGGGATGACTGGGATGATTAGGGATGACTAGGGATGACTGGGATGACTATCGATGACTACAGAGGACTGGGACGACTGGGGATGACTAGGGATGACTATGGATGACTGGGATGACTAGGGATGACTAGGGATGACTGGGATGATTAGGGATGACTATGGATGACTACGGATGACTGGGATGACTAGGGATGAACAGGGATGACGAGGGAGTTTTGTAGGAAATAAATGGTTTGGTTAGTTAAGATACAGTGTAGTTGAAACATTTATGTATTCGTAAGTACTGGTTCTCCTATGTCTGCATAGTAACTGCTGCTTGTTGTGTGTAAGGATGTGTATGGTGAAAGAATGAAAGATGGTAAATTTTAAGCTCGGTGAAACAAATGCGAAATGAAATAGTTAGCATGTCACAAGTGTGCGACAAACATAAAACTCTGAGTCCGTGACAGTATTCGAACCTATGACCTCCCAAACACCGAGTGGGCACTCTATCCACTTGAGCTACAGAGAACTCATGGAGAGCAAGACCATTATACTAGGTTCATATTTGACAGGTGTCATGCATACTGCTAAGATCAGCAATGTCAAGATCATACTGCATGGTGAAAGAATGATAGATGGTAAATTTTAAGCTTGGTAAAACAAATGTGAAAGTGAAATAAACAGTATGTCATGAGCGTGGCACAAACTGGTTGTCCTTCTGTGTATTTATGGAAATTAAAAACTTCACCTTGTTCTGTATATGAATGGTATTTGCTGGTTCTATATATTATATTATATATATACTACTTGATTACTCCTTGTGTTTTCAATTATTTTTTTTTAACTTTTTTTTGTTGAATTTGAATTCACTGGACACAAGGTCAATGATTGATGTGTTTATTCGTTTGTCTCATCTGAACTGTTTCTGCAGCTAGTCACTTACATGTATTCATTCTGTTTTGCTGGCACAACAAGTACCATTTCCTTTTGAGTTGTATGTTAATGAAGAGTCTCACCTCCTTTAGTATCTGCGCCGCTCACGCGTCACGAGTCTACGCAAATGAAAGTGAGCGGTGGTTATAATTTGATCTAACTCGCGCGTAGGTAACGAGTCGTTCTGATTTATACAAATGTTTATTTTAGATTGTTTTGAGAGAGATATGATTAAAAATGTGTTACTATCAAAACGGCAGTTGGTTACGAATCAACTAAGCTTTGGGTACGAATCATCTTAGCGTTGCGTACGAATCATCTCAACTTTGGGTACGAATCGTCTGGGTACGAAACGTCCGTGGGTACGAAACGTCCGGATTCCAGTCAGTATACATGTGGTCACTTCATTGTTTTCATCAGTACAAAAAATAATTATACATATGTGATTGTCTACAAAGGAATAAATTGAAACAATGAAAAAGTCTTTTACTAGAATTGGGGTGGCTATTTGGAACTCCATTCCACTTTCTGTTAAAACTCTCAAATCCAATATTCAGTTAAAGAAAAAGTAAAAAAGTTCTCCTTAATTTCCCATAATCAAGATAGTTTAATGAATGTTATACTCATTTGTTCGGAATTTTTGAGAAATTAACCTGATAATTTGTTGTGTACTTATTACAGTGTACTGCTAGTTGAAATGAAGTTTTCGTCTAGTTCAAATATCAAAATATCATTGTACTAGAAATTTCATCTAATGGTAGCAAAAACTTCCAGTGAATCTTTCTGCTAGTTAATGCATTTTTTGGTATTGTAGCTAGAGTTTAGAAATTAATATCACCTTAAGATTAGTTTAATAATTAGCTACAGTATTTGTAGGGCATTGAATAATGTAAATCTTAATCGTTTGTTAATAAAAATCTTGTTGTTTGTTGCATTTATCTGATCTTTTAATGAAAATTTATGCACAAGCTTGGTATTGTTCTCTTTAGTCAGAAAATATCATCCCAAAGATGTAACTTTGAAATAATAACAAAATAACTCACCCCATTATTTTTATAAGAAGACATCCCATCCTCTCTATGACCACCACTCCAATGACACCTAATGACAGCCTAAACCAAGACAAAAAAAATAATGTTTTATCAAATGTTTTTGACAGTAATTATGTTACTCATTAAAAGCTACACTGTATTTTATTTGTGGGAATAAAATCAATTCTTCTGTTTTAATGAATGCCAATCTTCTTAATCTCAAAGTGAAATCTAAACACTTTTTGACCAGAAGCTAAAACTCTCCAATAGTGGAAAGTTCCAGAGATTGCTCATAACTAGCCTGCATCACAGAGACTCTAAAAATTCTGTAAAGCACATCTGTGATTTGGTCGCAAGGACATATGTTGCCATTTTTGATTGGCTAGTTTCTTATCCAGTTTGTGATTGGCCCGAATTAGGATGAAGTGTTGACAGGCCAAACACGACTCATAGCTCATGACAAGAAAGAAGGAGCTCTCCCTTGCTTTCTCTTTACTGTAGATAAGGCAGTGCATGGAGTATTCTGAACTTTGACTGATGGTTAATCTGAGTCTCAACTTTAGAGGTATGAAGCTGGTCTAGCTGATTCCATACATATTATTGAGTAATCAGTTTGTAAGGTTTATGTTTCTGTAGGTTTTTCTGACAGGATATGATCATAGATGAATTAATTTAATGGTGTTCTTTTATCTCTGTTAAGGCCTTGAAAGCTTTTATTGCGGAAAAAAACATGTAACCTTAGTTTCAGCTTGGTTTTCTCTGAAATGCCTTCAGGAACATGAATACTTCATGTCAGTAGTGTTTTTTCTCCAAGAGTGTTACATATGTATCATGATTTCCTGATTAATTTTGTATTGGCACTAGTGTGTGTCGCCGCAATTTCAGAATACACAGCAGTACTGTACATCTCTTATTATGTTTAGAAGACACTGGAAAACCAGTCAGCAAATTTACAAACAATCTGCCCTTAAAGGAATTCCCTCAAAGTGTTTTTTTGTTCAGGAAGAAGGCGTTCAAGTTCAAACTGCTCAGTCATTGTTTACTGTAAAAAATGCTCTTTGCCAACTTCCAACTGTCATGCACATGTAAGAATTGGACCAATCACGAGGTGCGTAAAAAAAACATATGAAAACTGCCAACATTAAAGAAAACTGTACATTATATCTGAGCAATTATGCTATCAGAATGAGCTTTTGTGGCACTAATTCAGACAGACTATACTAATGGTATAGACCATGCATGGGCTGGCTGCAAAGCAGGCTACTCATTGCAAAGGTAATGAGATTCACTGATACCATCTTTACAGTAAGCAACTGGCACTTTTGAAAGTGAACAATGTAGCTACATGTATGGTATGAAAATGGTGAGAATATCATTATTGGACATTCAAGTAGTAGCATCTTAGATAGATCATGAACACAACCATAAATACTCATAATCACTTGGAATTATGAATTTTCCTTAAACTAAAGTATACACAGTGTATGCAAGACACAAACCCAGCACAAGAATTTTATAGCTTACCATTTTCTAGTCCAACCCATCACTGTCTTCTCCTGAGCTTGCTTGACATCATCTGATGAAGGAAATAACTGCAGTTATAATGACATTATTATACATGTACATGTAATAATGAAAACAGAAATGTGCCACATAGTTGAGAACTTGTGTTTAACTGAAGGAAACAGTAGAGTAGGTTTAATACATCTTATTCAATTACATCTTAAAATTCAAGATGTAATTAAATAAGATGTATTAAACTTGGCTTTTTTTGCAAGTCACATTTTTTTTTCTTGAGACTGTCTTCCTCCCCCCCCCCCCCCCCCTGCCACAAAACAAAATAGGAGCAGAGTGTCTACCCGTCACATTACTTTGTTCAGGGCTTCCGGAATTATGCGCAGATGCGAAATCGCATAATTTGCATAATTAAAAAACCATCATGGCCCATAATTTTTGAAAATTTTGAAAAATCCACTGACAAGCTATGTTTTTTTCATACCTTGAGAGATGCATGGAGATTTTTTTTCCCGTAAATATAGTACATTTTCACAACAAATAGCCACCGTTTCGTTGCAAAAAGCGTTCACAAATATCGCAAATCAACAAGGTATTTCAGGCGTTCTACTCTGCTGGCCGTAGGGGACTGTGCTCTAGTTTATTATATACCAAGAGCCATGATTGGAAGAAACAGAGACAATCACAGCTTGGAAAAGAAAAAAAGCACCCTGCTTCGATTTATTCAGCAGCAAAACAACTTTCTTTTCCATGTTTTCACTTTGAAAATGGATAAGTTTGTATTAAAAGTAAAACCAATGGAAAAGCCACGTAGCATTACACCACAAGAGAGGGCTAAGCAATATCCCGGGAAGTTCCATGCAGATAACAATCTCTTATCTTGTTCAACTGTGATGTTGTTGTGGATCACCACCAAAAGTCAATTCTTGACAAGCACCTTTCAGCTGTTTCACACATCAAGCAAATGGATGAATCCTCTTTGAAGCAAGCGAAACAACAGACATTGAAGACTTCATTCAAGTGCAAAACTCCAGCTCACGAATAGAAAGTGAAAGTCTGCCGTGAGTGGATAAGGGCATGAGCTGCTGCAAACATACCACTAAACATATCAGAAAATCCTACAACGCGTGAATTTCGATCTTCTCTCCTGTGTAGTCAATTGTGGCGCGATCCCTGAGGGCACACAGCTTCGGGGCTGCTTATTAGATGTTTATGAGTTGGAAAAGGAAAAACTTAAGCAGAAAATTAAAGAGGCAAATGTTGCCCTCATGGTAGACGAGCTTGGCAATGACAATGGTCATTGTGTAATAGACATTATGGCGACAATTCTGGACGTCAACAAGCTTTCTCCCAGTGGCAGAAACATTGCTGACCGGTTAGATATGCACTTTGTGATAGAAACAAATAACAAGACTGTGTCCCAAGCAGTTGTCAAGACTACCAATGACTATGGAATAGACTTTGATGGTGTCCTGATTTTTAATACTGACAACGCTAGTTACACGAAAAAGGCTTTCAGGGAAATGCTTTCATGTTTGTTCTGAAGTTGCGTCCATATAACCTGCCACAACCACATCATAAGTCTAGTGGCTGGTGATTTTAAGCAACATGTCAGCTTTGTCAAAGAGTTTGCAAAGTGCATGAGGAATTTGTTTTTTATTCCAAGTGGGCACAAAGGTCGTTTCCTAAAATACATGAATGACTGTGCCAGTGATATCCAGGGCAAAGCTACTGTGCTTCCCAATCCATCAACGAAGAGCTGGTCAGCATAGTTCTGACTCAGCTGTGTACCACGCAAAGCACTTCAACATCTATGAGGATTTCATCACCCAAGAGATTCAGTGATGTGGTAAAAATGCTGTAAGTGTCCTGTTGTTGCGCCTTGAGAAAATGTATGGAGACGACACATTCATGAGGATGCTACACGCCAAGCTCAGGGTTGTTGCTTACACCAGCCCAATATTTATCCATCTAATGGATTATTTCCAACACAGAATCCCTCATGTAACACAGTCACACAACAAAATGAAGAGTCTCTTTTGCATCCTCCACTCGAATTCTTCATTAAGCAAAGATGAGTTGAAATTCTGCTTCCAAGGCACATTGATGTTATTTACCAGCAATGAGAAGTCTGATGTTGATCACACTGTCAGGTAAATAGCACATATCCAGTGAAAACAAAGCTTGCCAGCTCATTTCTTTTCATTTTTTAATGAGGAAAATCATGAAAAATTACTTGTAAAACTTTTTTGTGCAACCATAGGCCTATTCCTATGACTAAAACAGCTATACGATGTAAAAAGAAATATCAGTTTTAAATTTCCATTTCAGGTTAGCATTCTCCGACACCAGAAGCTAGAGAAATACACAGATGAGGGCAGGGGACAACCTGGCAGTACTTTTCCTACATGATGTCAGAATACTAGATCCCCGCAATCTTGTGAGTTTGGATACGACCCTTACGCCCAACAGTATCCCAGGGATTGAAGATGTGCCCCATAATATTATGGAGACTGATTTGTATGCCCATGTCATTGGCCCAGCGGCGATGAAAAGAAGCACAAAGGGAAAGGTAGATGTTAAGCTGTTTTGGAAGTCGAGTACCAGTGAACTCCCTAACCTGTACAAAGTAGCCTCAATCTACTACACAGAGACACTGGGTTCTTACGATGTGGAGTGCTGCGTTTCCAATTACAACAACATTCTCGAGGGGAAGTGAATGTCATTGGCACCAACAAGTAGCCTCAATGCAAACCATTTCCTTAACTGGAATCTGCAAGTTAAGTCTACAGTTACAGAAGAGGTACAGTTGCACGTTTCCATTTTTCAGCTATTATTAGAAGTCTGTTTAGTATTTTTTATTAAGGGTGTAAAATAATAAAGATTATTATATTGTATTGTAGATGGTCTCCGAATGGACTCCAACTACTCCACTTCCTTGTGACTCACTTACAAAGTACATCAACAAAGACCCAAGACCAAAGAGTCCAATTCCTACAGATTCTACTGGCTCTGTTCCTATGTCCAGCAATTCAGTAGTCCCGCCTATCAAATTCCTGTCTAGGTCTTCTGGCAGTTCAGTGCATACATCAAACAAGTCAGTAGCCAGTCCAGATGACCCTGTTCATTCCTTGTAGGTATCAGGTTTTTTCAAACCAGCTACGAAGTCATCAAGGCAGGCCAATCCATCATCAAAACCACCAAACAAGCCTGATACCACCCATAAACAGAAAGGGATGTCTAAGAAAAGCAGTGCGTGGAAACGGTTTCATTCTAGCCTAGGGACAGTTGCGAACCCCATGAAACCTATGAAAGTTAAGTCTTCCTCGCCAGTTCCCTTATAAGTTAAGGTCCCATCACCAAATGATCCTCAAATACAGTGTGGCCTTGACAAGAACACCTCAGCTAAAGTTGAGAAAACAGAAGCCAAAGAATTTCCCTCCCACCTAAATGCAATAGTCAATGCAATGGTTGATGGTTCAGTAAAGTTAGTCCACTCTGTATTGTTGGCAATGATTTGAGCTCTCTCCATGGTGGCCATCAGAAGGACGAGGACAATATTACTTGAGTGATAAAATATTTTGTTATTGATTCATACCTTAAAGTTATTGCCGAAACAGCTACATGTAATGCAGAAACCACAGAGTGCGAAGTTTTTGAGAAAGGGATCAGCAGTCAGCTTGCTGTGGATCTTCTTGGAGTTAAAGCTAACCTCAGGATGCAGGATTACATATATGTCCTTGTTCCGTGTAACCCAGTGAAGAGCAAGCACTGGTTTCTCCTTGTAGCTTTGCCCAAGCAAAAGTGCAAATAGTCATTATGGACAGCCTTCAAGGATCTTCTGTTAAGCCTACTCACAAAGTTGCCGTGCAAAATATGTGGAAGTTGCTAAAGGAAATTGATCCCTCACTGGATGATGAAACAACTGAATGGAGGTTTGTGAGCAATGCTAATGGCCAGCTACCACAGCAGGAGAATGGATACGATTGCGGTGTCTATGCATTCATTTACGCAAGATGCTTGCTAGGTTTTTCTGCAGCAGTAAGCAGTAATAGCATCCCTTCCTTCCGGAAGCAGATATTACTTGAGCTTCACAGGGTGAAGGTTGAAGATAAGTTACAACCAATACAAGAAGGGGAGTACTATGCAGTAGAATATCAGAAAGCATTCTACATTGGTCGCGTCCTAAGGAACAAGAATGCTACTCTGACAATAAAGTTCCCACACTCAGTCGGGGTAAAAGTGTTTGACCGGCCCAAATGTGATGACATTGACGACTGCTCCCCCCCTGGCTAATCTTTGGTTCACTTCAAATCCAAGGGAGTGGTCCACTCCGATTTCCTCAGTTGGAAGAGGTACAACATGTTTACCAGTATATAAAGAGGAGCAGGAAGAGATGAACATTGAAATATTATGTGTCAAAGCAAATATATATAGATGGTCTATAAATGCATATTAGTCAGCTTTAGATTTTACAATGAGAATGTATTTCACTTTTGGATTCCATGTCAATCTGGTCAATGGAGCTTTTGCTTCTTTGTGCCGCTACCCAACATGTAAGAAGCAGCGAGAAATACGTTTGGTGTAATGAATTGTTGTTGCTCATCATATTTGTCCTTTTATGTTTTATTTCAGTAATAAACATATGACTTTACCTCACTCACCCTGAAAAAATCTTAGCAGCATCAGTCAGTAAGTTGTTTTTGTTGACTTACTTACTTTGACTAACTTGATTTGCAAGCTTAATAAATTGAAACATTAAAATCTTTGCTTAAAAATATTGCACAACATTGTACAATTCGCTAATTCAGGATTTTTGCCGCATAATTTGCTGAAAAAAAAGACGTAATTCCGGAAGCCCTGTTTGTTGTGTTAACTTATCAAATAAGAGAAAATAAAGACACATCAAAATTTTGACCTGCATTCCTGCTGGTTTTTTATTTTGTCTCTTTCCTAACTGTTTGGATTTCTGACGCAAATGCTCAATCCAATTTGTTTTAAAATGTTCCCTTATAAAAAGGAGAATATTCTTTTTTATGTAGGGGAATACATTGAAACAAAGGGGATTGAGCATTTGAGTGAAGTATTCAACCAAACATAGAAAGGAACAAAGTGTGTTGTCTAAGAAACCATGCATCACCCCACCCCCACAATTACGTCCAACAGATCACTGTGACATTTTGTTTGTCTACCTACACACATCATTTACAGCCACTGGGTTTTTTTTGGTAATTCAACAGTTATCTGTCAGCATGTAGTGTAACATGCAGAATCAGCATTATAAAACTGAAACTTTTGTGACACCACATTTGTGGTTGCATACCAGAAACAGAAGAATTTAAGCATATTTTTGGCCATTAACATTAATGGTTGCTGTTGCTTAAGAAATTTGACTACTGCTTACTTCTTAAAAGTATTAGATATGCTACTTAAGTAATAACCAAAGGGTAGGGAGTGCAAGGGACAATGATCAGAGGTCCAAACTCTTTTGCTCCAACGCAGTGCTTTGCGAAGTTTCACTTGATATATGGTCAAAACACACATGATCAGAGTACGAAGGGTTGAAGGTCGAAACACAAGTGCATTTCTTTGTTGCTTTCTTATTAAAAATCCCTAATTTACCCATACAAAACTAACCACAAGGATTCTGTTGATCATAGTCAAATGGCATCAGTGTACAATAAAATAATCCTATTTGCTGAATAATAATATTTTACTCACCTCTTTTTGTAATAAATGGTAGTTGATCTCGAGAGAAAAATCATCTTTGCTTTGCACAAACCTACAAAACATTTGATAGAGGAACAAAGAAAAAAGGTTACCAGTTGCTTGCTCTCCTTTGCATCCATGGTAACTGTTTGTTCTTCATTGTTTGTTTGGTAAATGCTTGTGTGTGATGATAGCAACTGTTTCATATGATTTGTGTTTGAGTGTGTGTGCAGGACAACCACCTACATGTATTATTTGCCATTTCTGAATGGCAGCTGCTGATTCTTTTGTGTGTGCAAGGGAACCACTAGATTTCTGTGTGTAGATGATATAACTAGTTGTTCTTCTGTAAGTTGAAGGCATTAATATTGCTTGACTCTCTGTTACAATGCACTGGAAGAGACGTGTGTGAGAGTCATCTAAAATGAGGACTCCATAAAAACTCATCTCCAATGATAACAAAAGAAGTGCTAGGTCTTCACACTCTGTTCATGTTAGCTGATAAATCAGTATAGTATATGGTAGAGCTAGTTGGTGTGGTAAGCCTACTCTACTCACTTACTTCCACTGAATTGATGGATTAATTTTGCTCTTTGCTCTGGTGTGCATGAATGGTGCATGTAACTGTTTGCATTGCTTGTTAGCTATCCTTGGCAGTAACTCCATCTATAATGTAGTTAATGGACTTGTTCTTCTGTTGGCTGTAGATCCTGTGAGCAATAAAAAGGGCAACCATTAAAGTAACCACCTGCCACTTTTTCCTTTTTCAAAGAGACTGATAAGAAGCCATGGAAGGGAATGGAAACAAGAAATGCTCTGCATCATTATCACGGCCAGTCATTAAAAATCATTCTTCAGCTGTTCATCCGTTCAACCTCATCCATTCAAAAATTTTCATCATCCGTTCATGTTATCTATGCTATCGGTTTCTTATCTGTTCACTTGCCATGCGTTCGCATGCAAGGTGTTCATTTGTAAGGAATGTTTTTGTGTTAGAGGACACATTATTTTTATCAAGGTGCAAAGAAAATTGGTTTTACAGCTTGCTATTCAGTCAAGCTGTAGAAAGCATTACCTTGTCGACAAGTCTTTCAACTAGCTAAAAAAGAACTTTGTACAACCGCGAAGGTTGAGGTAAATCTGTGAAATCCTGCGAAAATTCGCAAAACACATGAAATACCATGAAATTTGCTAGAAATCAAATCAAAGACATGTCTGTACAACATATTTGAAACTTATCTCAGCTATTGGGGCAGTTTAATTGCGATAACCTTGATACTTTGTCACAGAAACAAGCAAGCAACATCCTAAAACTACCAAGAATAGATGTATGTCGTGGAAATTACTGGGCACTTTGGCATTGGTTCATTTCTCCATGGTACATGTATTGTTGTTGAAAAAGAGAATGATTATCTGTTACAAAAACATTAAAAATGCTGGTCAGATTATTGCAAAACCGATAGATTTTTAGCAAAATTCGCCAAGAAAATATCCTCAAAATCGGCCATATTTTTTCATTATTTTTCGTTTCTTAGAGAAGTCTAACCAAAAATTTGTGCGAAAATCCTGCAAAATCTGCCAATTTTCCGCGGATTTGTCCCTGAAAATCCTGGAACTTGACTTTTTTCTCTGCGATTTATCAGAGGCCCTGATCAGCACACTCTGGACTATCAGACAAGGGGCAGTGTAAAATGCAGACTGCGGACTGACTGCATACTATTGTTGTTAGGGTTAGAAAACAATGGAACTATTGTTGTCTCATTCTCATTTGCATGGTGAAAATAATAGTCTGCAGTCTGAGTTTTACACTGACCGTTCACACAAATCTCTTAAAATATTGGTCATGGGTTGCATCATACTGGCAACATTTTCTTTGACTTCATCAAATGGCTTTACAGGATGAAGATGGGCAGATTTTTTAATTAAATTTTGAGGTAAAAATTATCCCAATCCTTTATCAGACAAGTAAGTTCTGGCATGAATAGCTCATGGAATGTACAATGGCATACGTGAGCAAAATTTTAAGAGATTTGCATGAAGTTTGGTAACCGCGCCAAAAATTCCTTCCAAGTACTCTACAAAATAGATAAAAAACCATGACAAGGTCTACAGTATTGTCTGACACATAACACGTGAAGCTAACTTATTATTTACTTACCTCTTTTATTATCCAATTTTCCATGCTCTTGGGATAAATCAGCTTCAATTCACACAAACCTGCGCATGAGATTGAAGCTTAAGCTCAATATTACACACAGAAAAACCAATTGCCAAAAGGCACTTTGATATACATGTATTTCTCAGCCAAACTTCAGAATACCCGGCCACTTCTTTGCTTTATGTCATTGAATAACAAGGGTGCCTATTGTGTTATACCTCGTTCTTTAAAACCTTCCGACAAATGTAAATGAGGTGGCCAACTTCAACTACTGTACAGAGAGAGCGATGTGATTAAGGTTCTAGTTTCTACGAAGTATAACATTCTAAATTAGCTGTTCACTTAAGTATCTGTAATAAGCTTAAGATCATAATTTTTGAGTAGTCTTCATAACTTAAGTCAAATGACGAAACTTTGCTTCTGGTCTACAAGAATCAGATATATGTGTAAATTACGTATCATATTCACTGGACTCGT